TTATGGTGCTTAATTACACTTTAATCGTTTCATGTAGGTCAAGATAGTGTTGCATATTTGATAGAGGTATTTGAGGGAAAAAATTATAGTAGGAACTACATGTAAGCAGTCATCGGAATCTAGCCACCATTATTAGAGTCTGGTTTTTTGAATTTCGCCAAGTTCCTAATATGCATTAGGTTATTTCTGGTATTCATTACACAGTTTGTGATATAATTTGTTGATTTTGATATCCATTAGATTATTTATGGTATCCATTTGTTAATTTATGGTATTGATAATTTTTGTTTGTTAGGAGTATGTATTCTATAAAATTAATGGTTTGCACAAGAAATGTTTTTGCTACAAATTGTTGATGATTATCACTGGCCTATTATGTGACTTCACTAGTATTGATTCATAAGTCTTGGGTATGGGCTATTATTGCTATAGATTTTCCTCCACCAACCTAGCCATTGGAGTCTGGCGATCAAACATAGGTATCTGTCACCTGTCTCGACAATTAGAATATAGTTTTCGTTACCGGAATCTAGCTGTTATGTTATTATTATTGCCATTTGGCACTGAGTATTGATGTTATGTGTTAAACCAAGCAATAGGTCCTCTCGCTTTCGATCCTGCCACTGTGTTGAACCTGAGTTCCGATACCACCTGCTATGAGCACAGAACCTGTACTCGTAGTTATCAAACTAAACAACTCCAAGAACAAAAAATAGAAAGATTGTTTAGGGTGTTTGTTGTGGTTTGGGATAAGGTGGAATTGAAAGTGCAATTTCAACACAAGATGGGAAACGGCTCAATCAATATAAAAGATAGAATCTCAACCACAATCAAGGGGAAAAATTGATTGTTACAGAGAAAAGTGTGAGCCTCAAACTCAAAACCAAGATAAAAATCAATATTATCCTAAAAACTAACCCGAAAACCCGAGTTTCATCCTTTATATAGGTCTGGACAATTAAAAATAACAAAAACAGTTTAAACACACAAATTTTCGTCACCCAGGCAAAATAACTGGTCGGAACAAAACATACTCAGTCGGGTATTTAGCCTCCACGACCGGGGGCCTTCTGCCCAAAGGAGACTGGTTTCTGCCAAAATACCTTGTCGGGTATTTGGTTTCATTGGTCGGGTATTCCTACCCTCCTCCAGGATTCCTTACATTGATTGGAATTACATGAGGTTCCAATACAATGATCAAGAGAGAGTTGGGGAACTTAACAAGCAGTTGGAATAAGAGGAAGCTAGAGTAGAATGTGAGATGATGCTTGGACTCCAAATCACAGAAGTTGGGAGAAAATTTTCCGAACTCATGGATGAGGAGAGAAGCCATCCACCGATCCCTATAGAACAATCGTTCCCCTGGAACACGGTGGAGTTCAACCAATCTCATGCACACCCTCCAACTCAATGCTTCATTTTTAGATCATCGATGCTATCTGTTATGGCTTAAGAGGCCTACATTTAATCATGTGATATCCTCAATTCTTTGTGTTTCATTGAATAGGTGATGGCATGAAGCGAAAGCACACATTAGCTAGTTAAGTTCCTATTGCATGTGGTGAAAGCTTGGGTAGGACGGCCTAAGTAGAAGGCATAGAGTGATTCTATTAATGAGTCAATGATGTATGATATGAATGAGTATTGATGTTTATGGAAGTACTTGAGTAATCCCATGTGCTCTCAATAATCTTCACAAGATGAAAACACTTAATGATCTAGGGTGGAGTCTTTAATGCTATGCCCTTTAGTGTCTTAAGGTTTCTTGGCATATACAAATTAGAGAGCACAACCAAGACCATTTCCTTAGTCGACAATTCAGTATGCCAACTATCAGGCATGGAAAGGGATTTAAAGGTCATGATAGGACCCTTCGTGCTCTCTCTCGACTTTGAGTACTTGATATGCATAAAGATAGAGACTACTCTATCATCTTTGGGAGGCCCTTGTTGGCCACTTCCGGTGCATTGGTCGATATTCATAAAATCAACTTACGATGAGAATTGACAATGTAGAGCATATTGTACACATGATTACTCTAGAAGCGAAGAAGGACAAATACGATAAACAATCTAAGTCTACTTTCATAAAATTTTATTGTGACTCTTCGGAGACTCTTATGCCCGACTATTACGAAGGTGCCGACTCGAGGGGAATTCGCTATCACCGGATAGAAAGCGAGAGTTTGAGGATATGGTACATACCTTACACCTCCACGAGTCACCCATGAATACCAAATTTGCTCCTGATCCATCACTCTATTCTCTTATCCCCAAGTGATCGGTATGGGGAATGGCCTTTAGATTCTCATTGGTCAAATTAATAGAAAGGGCGTTGGCAATGCCAAGCTCAAAGCCATTAAAAAGATGGCACTACATGGGAGGCAACACATGGTTTGTCTAACTTAAAGACATTAAGGAAAAGTACTTACAAGAGATAACTCGATTTTGGTTTTGGCACGACAGTCAACGAAATCAATACCACTATGGCCTTGCCTCTGGCATGTCCCCTATCATTGAAGGCTCACTATTCATTCTCGAGTTGGAATTGTATTAAGAAAGCCAATTAGGTGAACATCTTAGGTTTTCCATAGAGGAGGAGACATGTAGCTTGCATCACCTTCTATGATTCCTTATTAACTTTTCATGTTTAGATACTGATTTGGCTCATTCTATTCTCTAGTTTCAGGAGTGTTACATGAGTGATTGTGGCATGTAGACTGGGATAATTTGCTGTATTTATGATGAAAATTCATGTTAATTTTTTTTAGGTTACTATGGTTACTTACTTCCCTATACTACACCCTTTCATCGGTTACCCTTGGTTGGTGATTGGGAGAACAGTTTAGAGCGAATGTAGTTTTTGAAAACCGTCTTGGGGGCACGTATAGGTTATTAAGAAAAGGTAAATTTTGTAACTCTAGTGTTTCTTTTTCTGAATCTTACGTTCATCCCACTAATGTACTTCATGGTTTTTGTGCTTGAGTGTATGACCCAGAATCAATCGTGGATCTTGGTGACACCCGGCGAAAACATCAACCTTACCCTTCGAAACCTCAAGACGAAAAGAGAACATAGGCAAGCTCTAGAATAAGCAAGCAACCAGGTTCCCCTGATTGTGGAAGACGAAGGATGTGCAATGGTGGCAAACAACCTTTGATCAACGAGCAACCAACTGGAGATCTGCCGAAGAGGACCATGGGGTATTACTTGACTCCCAAGGTCGTTGATATCAGAATTATTATTCAACATCCAGTCATCGCGAAAAACAACTTTGAGATCAAAACAAATACAATCTCAATGTTTCATAACAGTATCAAATTCAATGGGCTTCAGAATGAAGAACCAAGAGATCACATTAATTGATTTTTGGAACTCAATGATGGGATCAATGCAAATGGGGTGCCACAAGATGCTCTCCAGATGCGTTTGTTTTTTACTCATTCACAATCATGGCTAGAATATCCAATACCATTTTCTATCACCTCTTGGAGCGATCTAGTGGAGAAATTCATGGCTCGGTACTATCCTCCTTCCAAGAATGTGGAGCTAAGGAGGCAATTCACCCACTTTGTCCGCGAGGATGATGAGACTCTCGGTGATTGTAGGGAGACGTAATCTAGTTTGTTCTCGAAGTGTCCTCACAATGGCTTCAATGATCATTTCAATGTGGACACCTTCTACATTGGTATCTTTCACGAGAATCAACAAATCTTAGACTCCTTTTGCCAAGGGGGAATGCTGAACGAGACCCTGCCTTAGATGACACAGTTATTTGAGGAGATGACGATTAGATGATATGATTGGAGTATCCCAAGGAGGAGCAAGAGCTCCAGGGAGAGAGATGCGCATGCTACTCATTCTCAACCATCGGGGAGAAGATAGAGTTGTGTAAACAATACACAAACGAAACAAGATAATTACACAATGAACATAAATAAAACTTAAGCATGTGCTATCCTCACTTCTCCGTTCTTCATTGATTAGGGATGACATTAAGTGAACACATACATTAGCTAGTCAAGTTTTTATTGCATGTGGCAAAATCTCGAGTAGGATGGCCTAAATATGGGTTCCAATTAACACCAATTTGAGTGTCAGCTATCAGGTATCACTAGAGGGTAATTTCTTAACAACCTAGATGATACTAAGCATAGCTACACGAGTATAGAGAGAATGATAAACTATCTATACGTCTAGTAGTATTCATACTTGGTTGTTAGATCATACTTTATCATATGTTATCATCACTTCTGTGTTTTTCATTGATTAGGTGATGGAATGAAAGCACGCTTTAGCTAGTCAAGTTCTATTGCACGTGGCGAAAGCTCAAGTTGGATGACCTTAGATGAGTCATTGATGATATGATTGAGAACTAGTATATGTGATGATACTCGAAGTTTACTTTCTTGTTCAATACCGTATTTTTACTTTTATACATCTATAACTTGAAAAATCACAAACTTGCATCAAACTACCCACTGCTCAGCGGCTTCAATTTTGTTTCTGGTACTGTTTTTTCTCGGGACATTTTTCGGGGGAAAAGTGAAATTTTTGTAGGACGTGTGATGAATGGCACAATAACCTGCCTTTCAACGTTAAAAGGGTCTATGGGCATATCGAATGAATTTATGTATCCATTGCCGTCTGAATTTATACCCAGAAAGCAAGAGTCAAGAGCTTGAATACAAAAGATTGCAGCCGTAGCGATAATTCATAACGCAAATCCTCGTTACCAAAGAAGAATCCAAATGACAGCTACATATATGGGGGTTATTTATTGAAGAGTTGGATTCCCACACGACTCATAAAGCAAAACTAAATCATAAAAGAGAAAGAAACTAAGAAGATCAACAAAGCTAGAAAATGTGCGTTTTATCGGCCGAACGGGCAAACCGGCTAACATGAATTATAACAACCTCGACGTTGCCGGACGGTGGAACTTATGAGAGGGACGAGCCATTAGCTCGTATAAATGGATCGCTAATTAAACCAACACCACATAGGCACATACCTCCTCGCAAAGGAAGGGAAAAAAAAAGTTAGTTAAAAATTAAGAAGCCAAGATACATCGATCGAAATGGCCGGTAGTCAAAAGAAAGTAACGGCGTTGAGTGTGTTGGCTGTAGTGATTGTGGGATGTTTTATTCAGAGTGCCAACGCCAAAACTTGCAGCGGCAGCGTTAGTGAGTTTGGGTATGCAAGTGCGGTGACGAATATTCTGACGACGTTGGCTAGAGTGACGCCGGGCAGGCCCACTTTTTCATACGATACTACGTACGCCGGTACGATTGGAGGAAGTGCAAGTTGTCGGGGGAAGAAAGTGCAACCCTGCATCGACTGTCTTGGTCGTCTCCAGTCGCAGCTCTCTTCTTGCACCAGCAGCCGGAAGGGAAGCTGTTCCGAGGCTACTTGCACCATGTCTTTCCACAAGCTCTAGTTACGTACGTCCATCCTTAGACGACGATGGTCATTTCCGTACCTAGTTTGAAAGAATAGTCATTTCCGTGTGTTTCTTTTCTTTTTTTCCCCCCTTTTCGTCCTTTCATTTTAGGTCTCTTAATTTCGAGCGCTTGAGTTTTTTTAGTACGCAAACTTACCTCAAAGTACTGCATGTATCAGTACTGTTATGGTTGTATCTGGATCTCTTGGCTGTGTCAGTAATAAAGCATGAGATAGTTTTCGCAAATCCGTATGGTTGATATTGGGTTTTCTTTTTATCCTCACAATATACTCAACTTGTTTGATATATGGAATGTATTTTTGCTAAAGTTGTTAACCAAGATGAGCTCTTCGACCAAATCAAGCAACTGGGTTGCAGGATGGCTGTTGAATCGAGGTCAACTCGATTGAACCATTTTATACACATTTTTAATAACTATGTGTAAAATGCAATGACTAAAGAGTTTATGGACTGAATTATAATTTATCTCGAGTACCAAACAGTAATTTTATGTTATATGCCTGCGTTCATATTTTTATATATTACTACAAGAAAAAAGGTATTCTGCGACCATAAAATGTACTCACGTAAACAAGAATAATGGTAGCCTTACTATTCTGCAACCATTTTTTCTCGTCACCAGAGTGGTCAAATATATGTCGTTAACGAAAGTAAATGCCACCACTTTCCAAAACTGATAGCCTAAAGCTTGTGTTTTGACGACCGTTTCTCTATGGTCTCCGACCACACTTTTGGCAACCACTCTAGTGGTCGTCGAATTGTCACATATTACGACAAATTCATTTTGGTCGCCAAAAGTGTTGTCCACCACCCTCGAAGCTCAACCTTACCTCAAGGTCAAAGTCAAAGAACAAGTGATGCAAATCCTCCACAGGTTCCCAAGTGGCCACTGTATGAGACACTACTCTACTACCCGTCCCGCGACACCGCCGACACGTACGCGACCATCGATGATCAACCACGCGCACAGGATGCAACTTGATATGGGGTTTTCTTTTTATCATTGATCAGGTCAAGCAACTGGGTTGCCGGTTGCGTGCTGGCTGTTGAATCCTAGTCAACTCGATTGAACCATTGACACATTTTTATTAACGATGTGTAAAATCTAATGACTAAAGATCGAGTTTGTGGACGGAATAATAATTTATCTCGAGTACCAAATAATGCATTTATGCTATATGATCGATTTATTCCATGCAAATCAATGTCAATAGTTAGCACGTTTCAATAACTACCCCATTTTAGGCCAAGTTTAACCTAAAATGGCGTTGTCATATAGTGGCAATCAAGGTCGTAGTCACTTGGGTCTCGATACCCTAGCCTACTTCAATTCCCACGTTGTTGTTCTCTATCCAATTGGTTTAAGAGGTTTTGATGGAGGATTCAAGCGAAATAACTAGTAGAAAGAACAAATAAGGATAAAAGCAGGTATTTCGGGGAACTATCCCTCACCCTAGCCTAGGTCTACTATGCAATGGATTTAGAGAATGTGGTGAGTAACCTCTTTTTCGTGGACTTTCGTGGTTATCCACACGCCTCCGGGTATGCCTTCCCTAAACTCATGTTAGTCACCTCGATCTAGACTATCGTAACTGGGGCATTAAGATCATAGCTCATTTCAATGGGTACGTATTACCCCCATCCACACCAAGATTTCATCCGGAGTTCTATCTAGGAAGACATTCCTATGATGCATGCGTGATAGTAGGGTTTCTACAAACTAGGAAAGATAAAGCTAATTTTGGGTTTCAATCTTTTCTTTTATTACTACTAACCACACAATTTATAGAGCTTACAAACAAGGAAATAACGTGCGAGAAAAGAAACAACAATCCTACGTAGAAAAGGAATGGGAAACCAACTTCTCTACAACAACGAAACAAACCCTTAATTCAACTACTCGTCAGCTGCGAACCGCAGATTGGGCTTTGGTATTCGGTTCGATCAACGAAGCCCATCCAGTTCATGCCGCCTCGACCCCAACAGTGTGTCAGACGACTCATCGGGCTCGTCAGGTGACCATTCCGCATCAATCCCCCCCTTGTGGCTCGACCTTGCCCTCAAGGTCGAGGTCAGGAAATCTGCGATGTAGCTCCTCGTATCGTTCACAGGTAGATTCCTCTCGTGGTAGATGGCGCCACCGGACTAGACATTCTTCGATGATCCCACACAGACGACGAAACACTGCCGACGGAACACAGCTCGCGCGGCGGCATGAAGCTCGCCGGCGATAGAGACCCGCGAGAGGCGCTAACGGCTTAGAGAGAGAAAGGGAGAGAATAAAACTTTTTATTCTTTATTCCTCATTCTTTCATTCCGTAATAAATCAATAATTGATAAAAATAATAAATAAGCTCTGTACTCGACGATTATAGTCGAGTAAACTGGAGAGTTTGACCGCTTGCACGAATGTAGACAGTTGAGATGCCCAAAGCTGACCACATCAGGGATCACGAACTGCCATTTTCTTTCTTTTTGTTTGCCTGCCGGCGCTGGACATATTCCATGGAATTATACCTCTTCCGACGGCATTTTTGAAAAATAATGGAATTGTATTAATCCAAAACAAAGGAGATCCAATTTTATTGCCAACTTTACTTGGATGAATTATAATGACTAAATAATCATCCAGTTTTAGTAATGATTAAAGTAAAGACAAAAGTTATTGTAAACTTGTCTGGCTTTATATTAAGAAAATATTAATTCCAGTTTTTTTTTATAAATATGGCCAAATAAATGGTCAAGCATTTGGTAATGAGTTTGAGGCTGTTTGAAATTACTAGTGTATCGTTACCGTATTTATACCAGTGTTTGTTCTATAAAAAATTAACAGTGTTTGTCAAATATTGGCGATCTGATTGAAAAAATCGCAAACTGAAATTCAAATTGCTATACAATTTTATTTTGAAAAATCGAGATCGAACCACGATTTAAGAACAAAAATACTCTAGCACTACTTATTATGTACAACTTTTGTATAGTTTTACAATTCTTGATAAATGTTGGTGTAGCAAATAGCTCATAGCTATATGGTCTGGAAGAAGTTGGTTAATTATGATTCTCACAACCCGTCTTTTAGATCCCTAAGGTTCGTACGATCCTACAGGCGCTTCAAGATCGTTGGATGCAGATGATGATTGTTATTAGCTACTATGTACAAAGGGCAAATAGTTGCTAAATGGGTTTGGTGAGGTGTGAACTTGCTAGGACTTAGCTTAAAGAGGATTTAGTTTCTTTCTTCTCCCACACGTATAAAAGACAAGTAGTTACTTAAGGGGTTTGGCGGAGTATGGGTCGGTGCTCTATAGGACTTGTTAAAACCTACCATAAAAATGGGTTTTTTCATCTCACAGGTTTTTTCTGATGTAGATTAGACAAGTTTCCCTTTCGTTGGGACTTAATTAAGTTAAAGGGGTTTTTTCTTCTCCCACATTTTTCTGCTATAGATTAGACAAGTTTCTCCTTTTTTATGTACGTTGCTATGACTAGGAGAAATCGGTTTATTGGTATCCCAAATACTAAATAATGGCCAAAATAAATCTCAATCTAAAATGTTTCTCTGCAATATTATACATAAACAATACAAAATTAAATCACGTCATATTTAATTATGAAATATAAAATAATAATAAGGTGAACATAACATATTAGAAGCTTTCTTATTATATATATATATGAATATTGGAGTATTTATGTACAATGAACTAAACTTATACTTCAATAAAATTAAATAGTTGTCTAAATCTCAATTGAGTTTCAAATTAATCATCCATCAATACAAGCAAGCAATTCTTCTTCTAAAATATTTAATCATGAGGATAAACACAAGTTAATATGAACAAGCAATTAATTACAATCCTGTATTTAATTATAAATGTTTTGTTGGGGGAACCATGATACAAAATGAGTATCAATCATAAACCCAAATAATTAGTACCAAATAATGATAATATTATTATGGTATTTGGTGTATCCCATATACTGATACCAAACTTCCACCTCTAGGCATTAGCTACGAACAATATTTTGGACATTGCAATCCTTGGGGGTTGGTCACTGACTTTCCAAGTAATGTTAATTACTAACAACTTAAATCACTACTCATTTGTTAGGGGTAAAACTAATATGCACATGGATATGACTACATGGAATGACTAAGTGTTCTCATTCCTTAAGGGAGATTTACTACGCCCAATAACTTTTGTTTACCTACTAATGAATCAAAGTAGCAAATTTATTTTGATCATTAAACACACAACCTCATGGAAGAACTTCATGTTATACTTTATGTTCTACTTCATTAGTAGGCATTATTATTGATTTTGTAATTTCTGTCCTAAAGTTTGAAAAAAATTATTGGTATGTCCATCATCCATATTTGAAGGTATTATGTATAGAAGTTCACACACAATGACTTAGCACCTACCTATATGTTAAGTATCATTGGCTTCAGCAGTAGGGATTGGAAGACCAACAATGTTTGATTTCTGTATTATTGATTTTGTAATTTGTGCCCAGAAATTTGAAAAAAAAGTATTCAATCAAAGTACTCTATTCGTATCCCAAAAGTTGATGACTATTGAAAATTTTATTTCATTCTCTAATAACATTCACTTTCATTTTTTTAAAGATATATGCACTTTTATTTAATATATTTTTTAAGGTAAACCACTTGGAAGCGGGACTAATTATTTAATATAAATAAAAGGTCACCACATCTATCTAACAGGACCAAATCATTATAAATGGACTATCATTGCTATAGCACAATAGGATTTTGAGACATAAACTTCTTGAACTGTACATTAATTGGGAGAGGGGGGGGGGGGGGGAATTCCTTGCCTAACTTGTAGATGGATAACCTGCCACATCATAATTTAAGGAAAGTCTCTAACATTTCCCCTATAAAATCAACGTGCTATTTTTATATTTTTTATAAGTTGTAATTATTTTTTCACATATAATTAGATTAATTGTGCTCTTTAAAATGATATAAACTTTGATATAATTTTTAACAAAAAATTTTAAGACATTTAGTACCAGTCTGTATCATGGTGGGAATACTTGGTATAACATAAGATTATACCATGTAGTATGGTAGTGTACATGTTGGTATGAATATTAGTCCTATATTTTTTTCCAGAAATTTATAGATCCGATAGATCACCATGTACTCATTCTTTCTGTGTAAAATTTTTCAAAATTTAAGTTAAAACAGAGGTGGTACCAGAGTGGTATGAAATTCTATTTTTGAAATATATGGAAAATGGATCTCATTTTGTAGATCACAACGAGCTCAATCCATCTATACACAAAAGAAAAATTGTAATCAAAGTTAGAACGAAAATGATAAGAACCGATTAAAAAAATTAGGAGTGAGATAGCATGACTACCCCTAAAAGAGTTGAAAAATGACATCCCCTATTAATTATAGACTTTAAGGTAATTGATTTGTGCTGCATTTAATAATCTGTCTGAATAAAAAACCCATATTAATTACTTTCATTTTTTCAGTGCAATGGTAGTTCTACCACTGCAATGATATCAGTGTACATGTGCAATGGTAGACTGATAGTTCTACCAATGCAATGATAGTTAAAAAAAAGAATGTAATTAATATGAGTTCAGTGTACAAGTGCAATAATAGTTGAGTTGTATAAATATAATGGTAGTTAAAAAAAGGAATGTTATTAATATGAATTTTTAATTCTCAAAGATTATTAAATGCAACACGAATTTAATATCATAATTAACTAGCTATAATTAATAGGGGTGTCATTTTTTCAACCCCATAGAAGGGCTAACAAGCTAACTGATCCCAAAAAACTAATAGAAAATAAAAATAAATTAATTCGCACCCATTAAATCTGAACCCTTCCGTCTCCAATTAAAACTAAGGGTTCAGTGATTATGCATGTGATTCACCCTATTTTAATCCAATTAATTGCAGAAATTTTCCGAAACTGCACATAAAAATCAATGACTGAATATTTAATGTTGGGACAATGTAAGGAATTATTTAGATATAGTTACTATTTTTAATTTATATGAAGAAACCCACCAAGGTGGGAATCTCCCTATTGTTTTTTCCTCCCTCAAATGAAGTGCCTTTGAACTAATCACTTGATTAAATTATATTATTTCAGTTCTGCCAATCGCTAGAATCAGCCCAATTTCCATCAACCAATCAATGCTGCATATTCCTCGACCTATAAATAAGAGGCCAATGAGTACACTTTTCCTCACCCCATCCCACTCCATCCCAAAGCTTTGCAAGCGACAACTTCAGACGTGAGTTGGAGAAGGCCATAAACAAACAACAGGTTAATTAATTAACCATCATGGTGAAGACACAAGGTCTGTTGATTGCCTTCGCATGGCTTTTGGTTGCCGCATTCATTATCATGGCTGCGAATCCCGTCGCCGCCGCCGGTAGGCCAAACCCTGAAGTCGCCAGATGGGGTAGCCGGGGGTGGGGTCGCCGGAGTGGATGGGGTTACTGGGGCTACCACCACGGCAGCCACCACGGTTATCATCACGGTGACGACCACCACGGTCACCACCATGGTAATCATTAAATAATATTTATATCAAAGATTTTTTTTTTTTTTCAAAACATTCAACAGTTTCCTAACTATAACCTTCAGGTACTGATTTTAATAAAAATATTGTTCGATAATTTTTTGAAGATCACCACCGTCGCATGCTGTGAACGAAAGGACTGGTGGGTTGGTACGATGGAGAGGGATGTGGGCATCTATCCTTAGCAAGATGTTGGTACAGCTAGCTATGGCTTGTACCTTACTATATGATTATAGTTTAAATTTGCTTAATTTTCAGTCCAGTTAAATGAAAGCTTATACATTGTGTACTTTATAAAAAGAAAAGGCTCTTATAGTACTAATTGTCGCAGATTACTGTGTAGTTCCTTTTGCATTCTGAATATTAAACTACATGATTAAATTAAGAAGTGTCCATGTTGAGTTAACTAGTGATTGGTGTTGGATGTCCTAGCCTAGGATCGTATTTCTTATGTCTTTTAATACACAACTACTCATATCAGCTATAAAGATATACACGAAGAACATAAAGAGATTTAGGGGTTTTGATTAGACAAACAAGTAAAGCAAGAAGACTAAAGTTGTTTGGGTTTTTTTTATCTATAGATGAATGAGAGTAAAGATATATAGGTTATTGTAATAGGTAGTGAATTCGAATAAAATCATTAAAATTAGGACTCATTCACATCATGCATCGATGATTCATATATTTTCACATCATATACCCTTACTCTAAGGCCATTCTCTACCCCGTCTATGTCCCTCTTGTGATAGAGATTTAACTAGATAATGCATGCTTTCACTTCATGCCGTTACCTAATTAAAGAAGAAAAGGGAAGTTAGGATAACATATAGTTAATTGCTGGTTTCCATGAACCTTGATTATAGTCTATAACATCGATGATCTAATAATGAAACATTGATATCACTCGAAGTATAGATGGTGATCAATCCATCTCTCCTCATGTAGCATCAATGGGGTATCACTAGAAGGTAATTTCTTGACAATCTAGGAAATACTAAGCAAAATGCATTTAAAAGCAAACAATAGAATCAAAAGCATCAATTGTATAAGAGCATTCATACTATGGAAACATCAATGGTCATCATAATTATCGACCACAAGAAAGTCTTCATACATAAACATACGCATCGTAATCTTCACAGAAAATACAAGTATGAGATGAAATCGTAGCATCAATTCACATAACAAAATCAAAATCACATCCAAATACAATCAACTTCGACTAGCTACATAGAAAAGAATGAAGGTACCACCATTGAGGATGACAACATCTTGTTAGCTGTAGACCCCCTAATTCAACTAGGCTAAACACTTGTGTAGAGTGTTACGTAGATTTGTGTGTTTGTGCAGCCTTACTCGTACAATGGAGTCATGCCCTTTAATTATAGGGAAGAATCTGGCCTAAAACAACCTAAATGGCTAGGAGAGAGTCTCCTAAACCTAGCAGACTTAGGAAATTTGTCAACAAGCATGGTTTATGAAACCGTACCGGAGGTAGTATCGGTAAAGTCAATGGTAGGGTATGTTATGGCAAAACCATAGTTCAACCGTTAGAACAGTAAAATACCTCCTACCGGTTTAGCCTCCGATACTGGTATTTTGTGATTGAGCCGTCGGTACGGTTAAGTTTCATGGACCATGTCAACAAGGCAAAGGGAAGGTGGCGCTATGGCATCGGTTGGACCTGCCACTCCAAATTTTTCTGGGTTGGGCTTCTTGATCCATCGACTTCTATTCCTGAAGATTTGGACTGCAACTTGGTGGAGCGGCGCGGTTGGACCCGTTGTTGGGGCCGCCACTCATTCCTTCTTCAAACTGGACTGATTTTTCCTCCTATGGGCTCGTCTTGACGTATTCTAGCAACTAGTTGTTGACTTTTCCGTCATTGGATGACTTCTTTCTCATGAAAACTCCTTCAACTTCTCTTTATAGCTCATCTGATACTCCATAGTTCTTCAATGTTTGATCCAATCTTGCCTAAGTTTCTTTGTACCTTCAAAACCATCAAAACTATACCCAGAAGGCATCAATGATCAAATAGTTGTGAATTAGATAGGAAATATCACTATAATGACTAAAGATGCTTCAACATAAGGGGAAATGTATCAAGAATGAGATTGACAATTACTATAAATAAAGTGTTATCAGACAGCCCTCACACTTAACTTTGCGTGTCCCCAAGCAAACACTACTCATGCTCATATAAGTCAATGAACCCTAGGCATCATTACTCAACCCTGATCTTAAGCAGTAGATCATAAGTAACTTACAATTTCAACAATAGCATGAGAGACTCCTAGCCACATCAATATGCAAGGATATCATATCATATAGCCCACGCATTAACAACCAAATCATGCAGCAGAGTCTTAAAATAAAAGGGTGGAGCAACTCCGGGATTTTTCCAAAACTAGCACTGTTTAATTTTTTTTTCTAAAAATAGCACCCAAGTCCGAAAAATTACAAAAATAGCACCCTTTCTGCAAAACCGCCACCCGTACCAGTGGTTTAGGCGAAAACCGCCACCCGGGGGCGCGTTTTTCGATGAAAACCGCCACCCGAGGGCGCGTTTTTCGATGAAAACCGCACTGGTAGGGGGCGGTTTTACAGACCGCACCCCCACCATGCGGTTTGGTTGCAGACCGCACCCCCACCATGCGGTCTGTTTTTTTTTTTTTTTGAAAAATCCTAACCTAGGTGGAAACTTCAAACGAACGTATCTTTGTGTTGGGGTATCCGATCGTCGCGAATTTTTTTTATTCTACATAAACTTTTGAGATCTTGCAAGCCGAAGGTTGTTTAGTCCCGCCTTCGTTCCAAAAAATGTCGTTTGCTACCCCGAACGAGCTTTTTTCCGATTTCGTCAAACTTTGGACAACCATAACTTTGTGCTCCAAAATCCAAACGGCATGAAAATTTTTTTATTTCGCATAAATTTTTAAGGAATAAAACTTTTATCATAGACATAATTTCAATATGTACGTGGATTGTTGAGAAGGGAAGGTAAGCTATTCCCAAAATTCTGTATATCCAAAAATAATTCCTGTTTTGAAAATTCATTCCTAGTAAAAATTGTAGTCCTTAAAAAGTTATGCGAAATAAAAAAAAAAAAATTCATGTCGTTTGGATTTTGGAGCACAAAGTTATGGTTGTCCAAAGTTTGACGATATCGGAAAAAAGCTCGTTCGGGGTAGCAAACGACATTTTTTGGGACGAAGGCGGGACTAAACCACCTTCGGCAGTCTTCGACTTGCAAGATCTCAAAAGTTTATGCGGAATCAAAAAAAATTCACGACGATCGGATAACCGAGCACAAAGATACGTTCGTTTGAAGTTTCCACCTAGGTTAAGATTTTTCAAAAAAAAAAAAAAAAAAGAACAGACCGCATGGTGGGGATTCGGTCTGCAACCAAACCGCATGGTGGGGGTGCGGTCTGCAAAACCGCCCCTACCAGTGCGGTTTTCATTGAAAAATGCGCTCCCGGGTGGCAGTTTTCTCCTAAACCGCTGGTACGGGTGTCGGTTTTGCAGAAAGGGTGTTATTTTTGGAATTTTTCGGAGTTGGGTGCTATTTTTAGAAATTTTTTTTAAACAATGCTACTTTTGTAAAAATCCCAGCAAAATCCCTACCTCGCACGCTCCCTGCCCACCCTCACCCTCCACTCCCTCCCTCGCATGCTCTCTCTCTCTCTGTCTAGTGATGAGCTATAATCGGTGATTTGTTGTCGGATTTCATATCTAGGTTTTCCGTATTGGTATTTATTTTGTTGTATCAATATTGATTTTTCGTTGTTGTATTGTTATCTTAGCATTATCATGTAGTAGTATTGATGTTATTGTATTAGTATTGGTTAAATCTGGAATGGTATTGGTAATAAGTGATATATGTTGTGACGTTGGTAGTGGTAGTATTTTGTATAGATTGTGATGGCAGTTTTTATGTTTTGGTTTGATTTCTTGGTTGGTTTCTATAATGACATTGGTGTTTTTTGAAGTAGAAGTGTTTGTTTAATGACTTGGTGTTGATTTCTTGTTTTCATTTTGCAGTAATATTAGTTCGGTTGCAAGAAACCTTCATTATTTCTGGTGGAAAGCATAGAGGAAATGTAATGAAAAGAAGGGGAAATGAGAAGACAATGATATGTGTTCTTGAATGTGAATAGTATTAACACTAACAAAACTATGCATTGCAAATTGCAATCATCTAAAGCTTCAAATTTCCTTTTGGCGAACTTTGTAATTGTTGTTACAGAAAGCATCTTCGATATTCATCAATTGACCATCGATAGTGTCGTCGGTTACTTGGGTGAAGTTAAAGGGGGGAATCTATTGTTGTATGGATTGGGAAGAAGAATGAGCATTGACGAGATGACCCAATAGTAACAAACATGTTAGCAAGACTGAAAACATTATGGGTGTGTGATTCTAAAGTTTTAGTGAAATTATATAACAAACTGTATTATCTACGACTGTTGTCGTTGTCGATGTCTTCCCTTTTTCTTTAATGATCCTCAATGTACTAAGTTTGCTTGCTATGTTCGAGTAGTCATATTCAGTAAGCTTGATATGCACATTATTCTTTCCCTTCAAGTACCAAAGTTTCAGCAAGCGATGAGTTGCTTCACTTTGAGTTTTGTCATAAAACTGTTGGCCCGATATGTTTAACAGTTTGGAGGCCACATGATGAGCAATACCAAATAAGTTGCACCAAAGTTATCGATCACAATAATGAAAATGCAAAACATGTGTAACGAACTGGAATATGGGTTACTTTTATGGATTGACATTAGAAGGATGGAATTGAACAATGGGACATCCTCAACTAGGCGACATATAATTTGGTTTGTTTAGTGTGGAGGACACCATATTTGACTCATAAAAACTATAGAAAGTTAAACCATCACAAATAATATCTGCTTCACATCCATATTTGTTTTCCATATAAGATAGATGCATAGTCCTGACAATCAGCCATCAATTTGAAAATTAA